GGAATGAGGACGACGATAAGTCATGAAGTCAACTGTGCTGCCGGAATAGAAATGCCGCTGCCTCTCCTACAAAGTTGGTTTTAATGTTTGGGTGGAACAGGAATCAAAATGGGGTGCAACCGCACCACAAGACCCCCATTTCCCCAACCCAACTGCTAACATTAATCCAATATTAGGGGGAAATGAACCACATAAGAACTGTCTGTTTTTCTCATCTCTGACAAGATAAATTATGGGGAAGAGAAAAATGGATTCTTGGCAATAATCAGCTTGTTTCTGAGGCATGTTTGAAATTATTGCATTGGTATACGCTGGGATGATATTCAGCATATCATAGGAGAACAGACTAAACCCAACATAAAACATCTGGGCACATTTTTCATCATGCTACTAAAGAATCTGGGAGCAAATAAGATGCTAGTTAAGCTGGGGAAAAAAAGTAGTGATATGTAAAAATCAAACATTAGAATTTAGAGAGAGTTCCTTGTAACAGATAGAGTTGGTTGCGTGTGGGAACTGGGTGGTAAACTCTGGAGATCAAGTATAGCTGGAAGTTTTATTCTGTATTAGTTCTCCATGACAGTTAATAAAAAAAGGATTTGTTTTTTCTCATTCAGTATCTAGACTTGTCTCATGAACCCCTGAAGAACATGAGATATAATGCAGGCTCCAATAAGGTATGCCCCACTTACAAATCTCAGATATTTAACAGTTCATTTCTAATCTGAGTTGGTCCAAAAGACCACAAAGACAGACAGGCTAGCTTTGCTAATTACAGTATTTGATTAACTTTGTTAATAATTAACTGATAATTCTGTATGCTGGCGAGTAGCTGAGTGCAGCCTAGGCACTAGTAATCTGGTTTGTGTAATAAATAAGCATCAAATCCAATAAACCCTTTAAAACAGGGTTTGCTGGGCCTTTGTTCAAAATTATTGTTAAAAAGCCACAAGCATTGTGTCAACTGATACAAGTCAAGTTCAAATAAGAATAAATGTATATACATCACAGCAAGAATAACCCAAGATTCAGACTCATCAAGGGCAGCTACAAATGCCAGTAGAAGGCAGTGACTCCAGTATTCATCTTTCATTTGTCACCCCACGCAGTTACCTTTGTACAGAAACAGCCAAAACCTTGGAAGCCAGTTAAGGTCAAAGGTAAAATTAGAAGAATGTTAATGTGCAGGGAGGGGGTTGTTCTCCCCCACCCACCCACCACACTAAAACAAGAGCAACTAGAAAGAAGAAAAACAGCTCTATGGATAATGTTTCTTTTGAAGAGAAACTGGTTTGGCTAGTCAAAAACTTTGCATCTCAGACCACAAAGAAAAACATTTCCCTTCAAGCTACATACAAGTCTGGGTATTAAACAGACAAGATACTTTTCCAAGCAAAGAGCAATTTCACTAAAGGATAAATGTAATGTTTCATCACCTGCACAAACAGGTGACAGAATGCCACCACGACAAAATTTACTCAAAGATAATTAACTTCTCATCCAAGCAGCTGAGGAGCCAAATGACCGGGGAAAACTTAAATTACATCTCTCTCAACAAACCAGTAAATTAGGTCTTACAATTCAAAGAAAAGGTTTTAGGATTCCTGAAAGTTTTTATATAAGCAAACCTTTTAGTATGACTAGCACAAAATTATGACACAAACAAAACCAGATCTAGAGGGGCTGAAAGTACTACATTGGAAAGAACCTGCTTTTGAGGGTCACAAGAATCAACCGGGAAAGTGAAAGCTGTACTTGATTTATGAAATTATACTATATTTATTTTCCTTCCTTTATTCCTTAACATCTTCTATACCAATATGACTTAAATCAAGCACTTAAAGCATCATTTAAACTCTTTACTAATTCTTCCATCTCCCCTCAAAAAAAGCAAGACTAATTATGGCCTGTTATAACAGTTTTCAAGTCTTGTCCCTCAAAAGTGTTCCAAGAAAATAAATTATGGTGTAATCAATCTAAATATTTAAAAATAAAGACTTGTTTCCATATTTCTTCTTTAAAGGATCATCTGTAAAGATGGGGTCAGGACTGAGATGAGAAACATTCAGCTTCTGCTTTTTTGCCAATTTCATTTTTTTAAAAATCAAGTTCTCTCTACTTTAGAAGATGGAGACTTAAGAACCAGTACAGTTAAAATAAACATAAAAGATAGCATACTAGGAAACCGTTTTTAACTAGACTGTTTACATCCAAGATTGCATGGAGCATTGATAAAAATATATTCAAGAACCCTAAGAAGTCTTCCAACAAAATCAACCAAGATAAGACTGTTTCCTTGCTAGATCTAAAAGATAACCACTGAAGCAAAACAGATTTAGCTTAAAACTTTTATCCTCTCCATTGCTGTAATATCCAAGAACCTCATAATCTTTAACACATGCACCTTCACAATTCCCCTGCAAGGTCAGGAAATACGCTCATTCATTTTACTGATTAGGAACTAAGTTAGGCACCTAAATATCCCCTGAGATTCTAACTCTGAATAAAGTCAATAAAATATGCATACTAAAGTAGCTCTGGGATCTAGGCCCAGGAAACTTGCCATGGTCATAAGGGAGGTCTATAGCAAAGCTGGGAGACCAGACACATTTTCATCCTAAGTCAGTGGTAAACACTAGTTGTATACTGAAAAACACTCTCCACTTTAGTTGTGTCCCAGCTCAAGGGTACTGTATTTGTGGATTCAGTTACCAAGCCAATAAGGAAGCATCAATCGGGACCTACCAAAAATCATGAAATAGTGATTGTTGCAGAAACCAGGATTTTGGGCAGGCCCCACAAAAAAAAGGGTGGAGTCTTAAAAAAAAAAAAAAAAAAAAAAAAAAAAATCAAACTCCGCACTTTTAGCGGGCTTCTCCCCCTCAACAAAAAGAACGAAGGAAAGGAAGAAAAAAAAACTAACTGAAAATAAAATGCTGGCTCCCTCTGGGGAGCCACCAGTCTTTGTGGACACTATGGCCTACCACACAGCCTGCCAGGGAGGAAAAGAGAGGGGGACAAGACTTGTACAGAAAGATTGAGAGAACTGGGCTTACTTAAGTCTGGAGAAGAATAGACAGAGGGGACTTAGTAGCAGCCTTCAACTACCTGAAGGAAGGTTTGACAGAGGATGGAGCTGGACTGTTCTCAGTGGTGGCAGATGACAGAACAAGGAGCAATGATCTCAAATTGCAGCAAGGGAAGTTTAAGTTAAATATTAGTTAGCATGGGGGGGGCACCTTCCAGCAGTACCATTTTAAAAATACCCACTTGACACTGAACAAGTATGAGGGTTACACTTGTTAGTTTTACTACAACTAAGCCACAATGTTTTAAAACCAGGTTAACAATGTAATGATGTATAAATATCTCAAGTGGACAGTGATCACCTCACTAAAAAAGAGCCAGGCTTTAAAACAAGAAAGCTTAGATTGTTTTTTGTATTCAATTAGCTTCTAGGAGCCCTAATCATAGGCAAGGAACCCCTGGTACTCACTGTACAGAGAACAAAAAAGGGTCCATCTTGCAAACAGTTTAGAATCTTAATTAGTCACTCCAAAAATTAAGTCAGACCTCTGTTTTCAGTATTTCCACTAGCCATGCACGTGCCCAGGCTATGGGAGAAGTCACCAGGAAAGCTAGCGAAGGCCCTTTCTGTCACAAGAGGTTAACGACTGGGTTTCCAAAAGTTATCATCCTTAGACTTCAGTAGTAACTGAAGTCAGCGAAAGCAAAGTTTGGTCAGCAGTGATACTTTGGAGCTCAAATATACATATGGAATGCAGACATCAGAGTTCATGTTTTCTTTCCACAACTGATTCAGAAACAAGAGCTTTTAAACCAACAGGTTAGAATACATATGAAATGGTACATGATCTCAGAGTAGCCCTCTTATGGCCATCCCTCCATTTCAGGAAGGCTAAATGTTTCAATCACTCATTCAAATCACAGTGATCATGGAGGTCACTGAAAAGCAGACCTCCCAAGCCCTGTTAACCATCCCACACTCCAGAGCATTTCTAGAATATTTGGAAAGACAAGTTACAAACTAATGGGGAATTCAGTTGACAAAACAAAACAAAAGCAGAAACACAGGACTTCATGTAAAGTAGGGGTGTCAAACATACAGCTCACAAGACAGATCCAGCTGACAGAACTGCATGATCCAACCCATAGGTCTTGGCCCAACCCTGCATGCTGCCAGTCTGACACATGGGCTGGACCTGGCACTGCAGGTACTGCTCGCAGTACAGCTGTTAGTCCAGGGCATGAGTTGCATGTGGGACTCAAACCAAACCAACCGTGCACACTGGGCCCAGGGCTAGTCTGCACAAGGCTGTTCAGCAGGCCACTGCATGCAGCATATATATCCTACATTGGCCCCCCCGTGCAACAAGCAGCCCATGTGTCATGGGTGTCAGACACCCACTCTTTTTGCCATGGTTTGTGTTGTCTGTGGCACATAAGCAGGACCCGGCACCATGAGCACTACCTCCAGAGGTTGACACAGGGCACACATTGCACGTGGTGCCCCACTGGACAACCCTGAGTGTTGGCTCCAGCAAGCACAGATGGCCTGGAGCCTGATCCAGACCAACCCTGGAGCCAGCCCCAACCATGGTGTGAGCAGTGCTCATGGCACCATGTCCAACCTGCATATCCCCTGCAGTGCAAGCCCTGGAGCAGGGTTGGCACACACTGCCCATGGCATAGGTGCCCAGCCCAAGGGATTACACTGTATGCAGCACCCACCAGGCAGTC